CTCACAACACAAGCCCGTCCACTTCAATCAACAATCTGTTCATGTCTGCACCATCCTGAGGGACAGGTCAAGACTATTGCAGTAACCAATCTCATCGACTCTGAGAGATGGGTCTGTGTTGCCCTCTACCCATGCCAGGCCATTCAGCAGCATCCGTGTCCTGGAATTAAAGGACAGGGGACGATGGCAGACATGATCCAGGGCCTGTGCCTCCCAAGAGCGTTGGAGGAAAAAAAACAGAAAGAAATACTGCTCTACTAGCCCTTTGGAAATGGCTGCTGAGATCTGGTCACTGACCAAGAGATTGATCACCTAACTTAGCCAGTCAAAGGTGCTGTGGCTCTCCAGCTCAGCTTCAAATACCTCTTTCCAATGGCAACGACCCAACAACAACAACAAAGGCAAACACATTAACCACAACATCACCACAGCATAACACTAAATGATATCATTTCCTTGTCCAACTCTGCTTCTTTTCTTCCCCATTCTAAGCCTACTTCCCCCACCCTTCTCCTGCTCATCCCCCTCTTCCTCAGTGGCTCACTCTTCAATCCCACCTTCTACTACTACTACTTGAAAATTCATCTACCTTCAGGAAGAATCACTACCTACTCCTCGAGTTCCTTTAGAAAGCATCCACCTGATTTCCATAGGCTTCCACATTCATATCAGATGAATTACTTTCCTTGAACCTTAGACAGGTGACTCCATATCTGTGGTCCAGTAGGAATGGCCAGCATTGGTGTGGCACTATGCAACATCAATCAACAAAAAGAGAGCAAAACATAAGACCATGTAATGACATACAGACACAACACAGGGGAAAAAAAGATAGGTACAATGCTATCATTTTTGCTCTCCCTTTTTGGAAGCACCCAGTATACAGCCCAAATGATTCCAAAAATGTGAAGTCTCACCCTGCTTGGACTGCTTGCTTAGTTCCCTTTCATGTTGTTGTTAAAGTTAATATCTCATGACAAACAAAGAAGCTTCACTGTTCGGGTTCATAATTCACCGATGAAATAGCTTCACACACAGAACACACTAGCATCTAGCGATGATGATAAGGAGTCGATAATAACATCAACAGAATTCCCGACAAGCTGTACCGCCCGGTACCCACCGCCTCAAATAGGTCCGTGCTGGAGCAGCAGGCCAGACAGGTAAAAGAACCCCTTGTATGGGATAGATCAGCGATGATGGTGGGTTTTCAAAATAAAAGCTCTTGTTTCCTATGCCTTCCATTCCCTCAGTTTGCCAACCTTCTCTCCCAATGTTGGTGCTTCGCGGAGGAGGATCAACAAGCTCTGGCAAAGGGGTAGTCGCCGCATTTCTCTGCTCCAGTGTGATATCTTCATCCCTTGCAGTGACTGCCGATATCTCATCATCCCTGACTCCAGACCTCCCTCCACCTCCCGCATTCCCATCATCACATTTTCCTGTGTCTTCTAGAAGGTTCTTGTCCCGAAGCCCATGCCCATAACGTGGTGTTGCTAGACAGTTGTTTCCCCCAAGGGTTTCACCATGAGCGTGCTGTGGCTGGGTGTCTTTCACACCATCCCTCCTCCGCCACAAATGTCCTAACTCCACCTCAAAATAAATTGCCCGTTTCTCCCTCAGTAGCTTCACTCCTCGTGGTGGCTTGGCTAGCGGAAACAGTGCCGATCCAGCCTCCGCTTGTCCTGTTGGAACGTCACTTGAGGGCAGCAGCTGCCTGGGCCAGTCGACAGAACCAACAAACACAAAACAGCTGTCAGGACACCGAAACTTTGTACTGTTTGCTCTTACACCTTCACTAGGTGAACTTGCCTTCACTAGCACAGCAGTAGTCTTCAAAGAGTTTCTTAATACCTCACGGAAATACTGTACTCGAGGCATTGATTTTTGAGGGAATGAAGGAATGTTGTGCAAATTTGCAAACTGCAAGAGTCTAGAGCCTTTGGTGCCATTAGAGAAACTTGTCCTCGAAAACACAGCCACAAAGAAACAAATCTTTTGAGTAAACACTGCTTATAACCCCCACAGCCCATCCGATAAGTGAATCACGTTCAATCCACATAACTGAGAGAATCAGGTCAATTAACATAACTGCAGTTCGCCATTGTTCAATGAATACAACAAATATGAAAGGCATTTCACAATGCAGACCCCAAATTCGAATCTCAGGGTCGAAGTCCCCGATCCAAAAGAGACCAGTTTCAGAAAGGTTATGTCGGGTACCCCAGAGGTCAAGTCCAACAGGTACCCCGGAAAACAGTCACATCCCAGAGGCAAGAGTCACGTCTCACAGTCAACAGTCACATCCCAGAGGCGAAAATCATGTCTCACAGTCAGAGGTCATATCCCACAGGCAAGGGTCACGACCCACAGTCAAAGGTCATGTCCCACAGACCCAAAAGCAACAGCACACCAAGGAAAACTCAGGAAAATACCAGGGCTCAACATTCTTGTTACGATCCTGGCCAATTTCGAAGTATACAAACATCAGAAAGTACCATGCCGTCCAATTGCAAAAAGAAACGAATGAACTTGAGAGGAGAAAGAGGGAAAGAAGAAGAAGAAGTAAGAAAGAAGAAGAAGATGATGTACTCCAGCATAGACCAATGACAAGGTTCTTCTTCCTCGCCAACCAATCTCCTCCTCCTTATCTCCTCCCCTCTTATTCAAACAAGAAATAACAATAACAAGAAGGACCAATGCGGCTTCACCCGCATGACAGTAGGTCAGCGCATAATGTAATTACTGTGACTCGCAAGGACTGTAAATTTCGAAATACAGCTTCATCAGACAGAAGAAGAGGATGAATGTCGAGGTGCATTAGCGGACTGTCCCCGGATCCTGATAGGATTGTCAGTGCATTAGTGCAGCTTAAAATGACGATGAAGGAATCATGAGTTTACCATGGCAGGTAAGGACATCATCTGTTAATCATCCGAATGTGAGCATCAACATATATATATCGTCAAATAGAACTGCCCGGAAAACCGTAGGCAGAGAGGGAGAAGAGGACAACAAACGAGGGGCTGTGACAAACTGTTTCGTCGGAGTTTATTGTCACATCACTACAAACTAAAAGAGCGCACTTTGCGGAACAAAGAATAAAAGCAAAAAACG